GAAACTCAGTTTTTTTGGTTGGAAACTTAAAAAGATCATATCTCATAGGAAAACCAATCCAATCCGCAAGGTCAGAGTTTACATGGGAGATATAAATACTTGTGCTCATATCTTTCTAGCGATACAATCCGGACGACATTATTTAAACGTGGAATATATAAGATTATAAGATAGAACAAAAGATGGAAAAAAAAGAGTTATGCTGATTTAATTATTTTTCTAAGAGTACATGTATCAAGTATTTATTTGATTTCTTAAATCCACCTTTGCAAAGATTGATTTTATGCCTGGTTGTTGGAGATGTCGGTTTCTTCCGTCCATTCGGAGTGTGGATCGCTCCATGACCTCGGTCTCACCCCACTATGCAGTAACTTTTATACGGTGGTCGTCCGTGATGATTAACGTGCCGTTTCCGTGAAAGGAGCAACCCCATGTCTTGCAACGCCACCACTAAAGGTGGAAGCTTGCACTTGCTTTCATGAGCCCAAGCATGAAACTGTTGGCAAAACAATATGCAAAATGCAAACGTGCTTACAAAGCCATGAACCACATGGTTATACATGCAAGAACTAGAGGGAGATATGTCAAGGTTATGCCTCGAGCTAGAGCATGTGAATGGTTAGCAAATTGACGTTTGGTTATGGTCCAAGGCCACTTGTGGTGACCTTGAGCAGCTTCGATTTGGGTTCCTATTAAAGGCGTTGACTCATCACCGTAGTTATCGATGGCCCAGTGGTCCACGCCGGAGCCTAGATCAGCACAGACGTAACCCGCATAAGCGGCTAAAGCTGGTTCGAGCCAGAGATGAGAACGAAACCCTCCAATGATAGACTTGGCAAAAGAGGTAAACACGGTGGTGCATCCCGCTGCAACCCATAAGCGGTGGGTCCATGTCGATTGTAGAGTTGGGTCATTGTAGAGAGGAGGATTTTAACCACAAGCTTCTCACGGTTAGGTTGAAACTTGTTGGTGTTAGTAACCGAGCACGTGACACGTACTCGGAGATGCGATTGATGGTGGCTTCTTGGGATGTTCTTGTTGTTTGTGATGGGACTTAAAAGGTTATTTGTTTGAAGTGGTAAAGCCATTGAAAGAGAGAGTTCATGTGATGATGATGTGAAAGATATTAAGTTTCTCTTCTTTCATTAATGAAAATGAATGTTAACTTACACAATTTATATACAAGTATGTATAAACGCCAACTCTCCTAACTAATTGATCAAAATTAGGTCTGGGCATGAACCGTGTACGTACTAATTTTCAAGTATTTGGTTTATCTTGTTCAAGTAACAGAAATTTTAGTTTTAATTATATTTAACCGTCCGAAATAAATACTTACTATATATTCGTCCAAAATCCCATTATCATTTACAAATAATTTGACTTGGCTTGTTACTTATTAAAATTATATATTTACTATTTAAAAGTATTTAAATATAAAAATAATTTCTATACAAATTACAAAATATACAAAGATTAAATATCCTAAAATCACAAAAAATAATAATCTCAATATAAATTACAAACTATACAAAAGTCAAATATTCTGAAATCACAACACATCTATACTCTATAAAAATTGAGGCTATAAGCTTTTGAAGGCATCCACATAGGATTTAAATTAACCTATAGTAATGTGCCATGTCAAATATTTAGAATTAAGTTAATTTTATTTTGTTTGATAATTGGAAACTAAGACATAATTTTTTTATTTCATTAACATATAACTTCAAGTAATTTCTAAATTTTTGTGGATTTAATTTTCTATTTCAATTTTGGATACTATAGATTAGGAAATTTTGTTATTTCAAAAGTCTTAAATATTAAAAAAAACGTGATTATTTCTAGAAAAGGGAAAATAATCCCAATAGAATAGGATCTTTAATGAAAAACAAAAACTAACACCCTTGCCATCGACCATGATTTGGGCCACGATTTTTTGATGATTTTGTTTATTTGGCCACGATTTTTTTTATGTAATATTAATGGGTTTGATTGAATTTTTGTGTGTTTAGGCCCTCTAACTAATCTAAATAACTTTTATATTGATTTTATGGATATATTATATGGATATTTGGAAATAATATTTTGTATCTTTCTTTTATTCTATTTTGTTATAGTTCTATATTCATTTATATCTATACTACTATTAATCTTTTACTAATTTTCCATGTTTTACTCATAACTAAAACCCTAGGTTTTGTGTTGTGTATATATACACGTTCTTTCTTATCTCATTGCACATCGTTTTTTTGTTATTTTTAATATATCTTTAGGTTTGTTGATTTAGTTCTTCTCTCGCTTTTTGTATTTCTTTAAATTGTTTGGAGTTGTTTCTAATGAGTTTCCGACTATTTTTTCTGTTTTCCAGGCGAATCTCTATCTACTCCTTCAAAGGTATGGTTTATATGAAGTATCTGTTATATATTAAATCGTGTTTAATATATACAATCGTTTTAAAATATATAGGACCTTAAGAGTATATCGATTTACTGTATTGCTTACTTTCTGTCTTTTGTTCGTCGTATTTTTTTTTACTACGGTTATATTAGTGTTGTTCATGGTTTTATGTTTTTCTATGAGTTTTCTTGAGGCTATAAGCTCCTAAGGCCGTCCACATAGGATTTAAATAAACAAATAGTGTTATGCTCCATCATCAACGTTTAAAATTAAGTTAATATTCTTTTGTTATTAATAGGAAACTAAAACAAAATTTCTTTATTTCACAAATTCATTATTTAAAGTAATTTCCATTTTTTTGTTGTATTTTGATTTTTTAACTTGTATTAGTCTATAGATTAGAAAATTTTCTTCATTTTAAGATAGTAAAATAGTAATAGTCTTAATTATAAAAAGAACTATCAATTAACAATCACTAATTACTTCATTTTATCGTCCAACTCACTATATTTTTTTTTTTTTTAGAAAACCGAACTCACTATTGTTCATGGACTATTTTATATAAGTATATAACCCAAGTTTTTTACCGGTCTAATGCCATGGAACAGTGTCATATGATCTAATAGTAGTACCATATAATATAGATGTACGTGAACTAATAAAACATCAAACAAGAAATTTTTCAATTAACAAAAAAAAGAAAGATTTCCATTG